TAATGTTTTTCCTTTTTATGCCTCCACATCAGCAGTAGCCATGGACAGAGGCATTACTGTATGTTTTCATCTTCCTCCATCCCTACACCTGTCCATCACATTCTTTTGAACACAATATGTCAAGAATGCCTTGAGGGAATTTCAAATTTGGCACAAATGGCCACTTGGACTCAAGGATGACCTGATTACATTTTGGTTGAAAGGCATAATTGAAGTTTTCAGATTGATAGACTCAAGTATTGTTTCTGATGGGATTATAGTGGACACACACTATGTGTACACAGAGGGTTCTTTTTAGGTGTTCGGTGCTTGTAAAAGTGTTAAAACTAGTCATGTAGACCCCCTCGCTACATGTGTGCACCATCCATACCCAATTGTCAATGTGAAATTAACTCCCAAAGGTAGAGGGACACCAGAACCCCCCCCCAACATTCAGGTTGGGTCAGGGGGGGTCGGGGCAGAGCCAATCTTAGCCGCCAATCAGGTGAAGGCGGGGTACACCCTGGACAGGTCGCCAATCCATCGCAGGGCTAACACATAGACGAACAACCACACACATGCACTCCTATAGGCAATTTAAAGACACCAGTCAACCTAAACTGCATGTCTTTGGACTGTGGGAGGAAGCCGGAGTACCCGGAGAGAACCCACGCAAGCACGGGGAGAACATGCAAACTCCACACAGAAAGGTCCCAGGTGGGGCCCGAACCCTGGAACCTTCTCGCTGTGAGGCAACGGCGCTAACCACTGTGCCACTGTGCTGCCCTATAAGGGCATTCAGTTCGTTACTACCTGAAATCAAGTCCAACAACATAGAAAACAGTTCATGCATAGTGAATCCTAGTGATGAGAGCAAAGACAGGTTACCGTGGCAAGAATACGAGATCATCTGGCAACGAGGGCACACCAACGCTCCCCTTAAGTGCTAGTCTGGTAATTGAGAGCAAGTGTGCCTCGCCGCGTAGAATGCCTTCCCACCTGTGCAGAGGTGGAGTTACTGTGACAGTCTGTGCCAGCAGAGGAGGAGCTGGGGTGTCTGGGCCACGGACGTAACACTCATGTCTGTCCCATTCCCGTGAATTTGACTGGTTGGCAGAGGTATACAAGCGTAATTCTAGTTAGTAATGTTTCGTCACAAACCACAGCACTTAACTTAACTTGTTGAGTATATTGCTATTAATGTAGATTCATTGTGGTTAAGAAGTCATCATAAGCCATTTTCACCTTTGAACTCCAGACTATGTCTGCAGAATCAGGCCCAGACCTAGTCAAGAGTTGCATTTCACACATGTAGCACACAACCTACTGGAAATACTCTGTCTGGAAATATTCAGTTTGGTTTCTGCGTAGGAGGCACACCTGTGCAGAGCACACAGGAGGCGGGGCATGAGGCGGTCACATAGCCAGTTTGTAACTTGGTCATAAACAACCAAGTCTCTTGCCATACCTTAAATTTGTCTGATGATTTTGGTGCGAGCTCTTAATGACAGAGCTTCCTAAATCTCACTGTGTGTCCAGTTGGGTATATTTATTCCCATATTCACTGTAAATTTTCTTCACCATCGGATGTTTGTATTCTTCTAGTTTTGTGCCAGTCACATGATAGAACGTCATCAACATGACCACTAGCTTCGTGTGAATACTCCGGACTATACGCTACTATATTCTCACATGGGCTTACTCCAGCTCACTCGGACCTTACACAGACTCTGTAATTCTAGTTAGTAATGTTTCATCACAAACCACAGCACTTAACTTAACTTGTTGAGTATATTGCTATTAATGTAGATTCATTGTGGTTAAGAAGTCATCATAAGCCATTTTCACCTTTGAACTCCAGACTATGTCTGCAGAATCAGGCCCAGACCTAGTCAAGAGTTGCATTTCACACATGTAGCACACAACCTACTGGAAATACTCTGTCTGGAAATATTCAGTTTGGTTTCTGCGTAGGAGGCACACCTGTGCAGAGCACATAGGAGGCGGGGCATGAGGCGGTCACATAGCCAGTTTGTAACTTGGTCATAAACAACCAAGTCTCTTGCCATACCTTAAATTTGTCTGATGATTTTGGTGCCAGCTCTTAATGACAGAGCTTCCTAAATCTCACTGTGTGTCCAGTTGGGTATATTTATTCCCATATTCACTGTAAATTTTCTTCACCATCAGATGTTTGTATTCTTCTAGTTTTGTGCCAGTCACATGATAGAATGTCATCAACATGACCACTAGCTTCGTGTGAATACTCCGGACTATACGCTACTATATTCTCACATGGGCTTACTCCAGCTCACTCGGACCTTACACAGACTCTGTACTAGGGAGCTGGCAGGGTAAAGTCCGCTTAAGCTCCAGCTCCAGGTTGACCCACTTGGACATTTGCATTCTCACACTCCAGGTCGACCCACTTGGACATTTGCATTCTCACATACATCTCTCCTGGGTAATGTCTAGAGAATTTCACCCTTGTTAACTCTTTCAAGCTAAAGCTGAACAACTCATGCAAAAAAAGAGTCCTGAGCAGGATTGTGGACCCATCCACACTATCAGCAAATAAAAATAACATTAGTATTCATTATGAATGTGTACAGTGTTGTTTTTCTTTTTATCTTGAAAATCTACCATCAAATACATTGAATTACATACTTTTTGTCTGTACATTCACTTGATCATCAATGACTCATTCACACTGAATGACTTCACACTGTTTTCACACTCCAGACATACCAGATGACCTAAAGAGGCTCTGTTTCCTCTAGAATTTTGAACATGACTTTATTGTGCAGACAAACAGCTAAGCCAGTTGCACGTTTTTATTTTCACCTGTTGACCATAAAGTTCGTCACATATCTCTGAGTGTACTTCCTGGGCTCTGTCATGCACTTTCATTGCACATCTTAAGTTCCTCCTTTCTTGTCTTTTATAATTCTTTCTGATTTTACTCCCTCTTCTCTCCTCACCTTGCCTGTTTTGGGGGGCTCAGAGATAAAATCTCCCTCAATGGCAAACTTTGAAAGACATCTAAAAGATCCCTTCTGTCACTTCAGCTTAATGCGGCCCTCTGGGCTCACAGTACAAACATGCACGCATACACATACACGCACAGCCCACCACTAATAATAGGAGCAGGGAGAAGCAGCCAGGATTTTAGGACTCGTAAACACACTTCATCCTGTACTTCTAACAATCTCTTTTGATCTTTATCAAAACAAAGCAGCTCCTTGGTGTATTCTGTGCTTCCATTTCTCATCTCGAACAGGCTGCAATGCATTTTTCCAACTTAGATTTCTTCACCTATAAAAAAACAAGTGCATATTTGGATTTTCTGACTGTGGGCTTTCAGTAGGCTGATCACTGCCACGTCTGTCAGATCCATTAATTCAGAAGTGTGCAAGCAAGTTCTAGTTAACTGTTTCTTGAGGCAACATGTTTACATCTCAAAGCAGTCCACTTTGCATATCTAATCAAATTTGGTTTATTTTTAGCAACATGCTAGGATGGTAGACAGGCATTACTAATTTTTTTGAAGGGCTTAAACGGATCAGTAGAGCTCCTCTTTACCTCCATCAGCAGTCAGCAAAACTTCCTTCTACAAAACTAGGCAGTGCAGCACAGTGTTTAACTAAGTAGGAGTCTGAGCTTTCCTGTTAAGGGTTCCCACTTCCTGTGTTCACATAAAAAAATGTATGTCCTTCAGTTTCTGGATCCCATGGTCCATAATGATCTGATCCCTGTCTCCCATAGGCGGGCCGTTGCTAAGGCAACGTGATGACGCTCTGAGGAAGGACAGGAGGGAGAACAGGGAGGAGGGGTAGGGAGATGAGGAAGAAGCTAACTGCACCAAAGATGAGGTATATTTCATAAGATGACTCACTCTGTTTGGGGGGGTGGGGGGAGGATTATGTGAAACCTTTCACATTTGCAGTCTTTGCTTATGCCTCGTGATGCATTTAGAAACTACAGTATTTTGGAAGTAGAATGGGGGCTGTGTGTGTGTGTGTGTGTATGTGAGGTAACCTGGGATAGAGTTTCATATGCAACATGAAGAGCGTGGATTTAAAGGGTGCTAGACTTAACTCTGACATCACAGTTGTCAAAAATATGTTTATGACCTGAACAAACAGGTCAGACAAAGCTCAGACTTGATCATGTGCAGAGGACATGTCCTCCTGTAGCCTGTATCTATAATGGCTCCTACACCCTTGCATGGCATCTCTGCCGCTGCTTCTGCCCTGCTGTTGCCATAGTGACCACTTGGGTACACACTCAAAACAACTTACTGGAAAAAAAACCCTGCATGTTACCTTTGGTTGTTAACTGCTCTAGATGAGCCTCCTTTGGATTGAACAGCAGCCAACTGAATGTGGATTTGCATCACCTTGATGCATTTTGTAGTTACATTTGTGGTACCTGGAAATGTAGTTGCTTCAAATTTATAATTCTCTTGCACTGAAAACACAATAATTACAAATGATGCTAAAGTATACGTTGCAATTTTTCATTCATTTTCTCCTTTTGCGTTTGTGTACGCTATTCCAACATAGACTTTAAACAATAGAAAAATCTGTTTTGTGCTGTGGCTAATTGCAACATTTTTTACAGTTCTTTTTTTTAAAATATTTTACTTAAATAAAGCTTTAATTTTGTCTATTTTTTATTTGTATTCTTTGATGACGATTAGGCTATTACACCGGTTATATCCATCCAATCCTTTATCCATACCACCTAGAGTCCAATTAGGGTCGAACAGTGTTGCGGGGTGGCTGGAGCCAATCTCAGCTGACATTGGGCGACAGGCGGGGTACACCCTGGACAGGCCGCCTGTCTATCACAGGACACAGGTTATAGGTAAAATCAAATGGCCTATTCATTAATGGCAAGACCTAGTGGTGAATCGTCTTATTAAAGTTCATAGACGATCTTTGGCTATTCCTTCCGTACACAATAGCATTCTTTCAGTGAACTCAACAAGCGCTAGGACCCAGTGCGGGCGCCGGGGGAAGTCCTCTACTGCTGGCGGGGCAAAGCAGAGCACGGAAAGGCACGCATCCACGCGCACACGCACGCACACACACACACACACACCGAGCTCTTCTCCGACAGAGGAGAGAGCGAGCGCAGAGAGGGATAAACAGAGGGAGAGAGAGACTATAGGAACGCAGTGGCTTGTGTGTGTGTGCGTGTGTGTGTGTGCGTAGGTACGCTCGCTCGGTGGTAGAAACGACTGGGTGGATATGGAGGGGCTCGGGAAAAGCGCTGGGAACTGACCGAGCACGGACACGAAGAAAGGGAGAGAGAGAAAGAGAAGGACGCACGGAGAGCACGGAAGGAAGGAAGGAAGGACGGAAGGAAGGAAGGAGAGGAGGAGAGACAGAAGTCTGTCAGAGGAGAGGAAGAGTGTGAAGAACGGGCTCGTTTGGAAAACACAAGGATCCTAAGGTGACTTTTGGGGGCTTTCATGTGCACTCTCACTGAGGTGTGTGTGCGGGATGTTGACATGTGCTGCATGGCTCTGCACTTAAGGGGAAGAGTGGAGGTGTGTACGCGGGGGTGTAATATATATAACATATATATATTTTATATTTAAATATATATATGTATATATATATATATACATACATATATATATGTGTGTGTATGTATGTAACTAGGTAAGTGTGTGTGTAGCCTATATATACATTGGCGTGTGCATGCATGTATAAGTGAGTCTTGTTTTTCCACAAGCTAAATGGGGGCAAAGTGTGTAAGGAGCCGAGCTGACCGCTGTAAACTGGAGTGAAGGGATCAAAAGGAGTGGATACTTTTTAGGGGAACAGTGAGATTCCATTCCAACACACACTTCACCAGTAGGGTACTTTAAGTTAAGCAAGAGAAAAGGGGGGAATGACACTCCCTTCTTAAATGGCAGAGTCCATTTTTACCACCCTTCACTCTGTATTTGTGTGTGTGTGTGTGTGTGTGTTCAGGAGTTTTTAGTGCAGCAGGTAACACACAGTCTTTGCTTGGAGCTGGCAAAAGCAGCACTGTATTAATTTAGTGTTTTCCCAAAGCTGGGTTGACACTGAATGATGCTCGACAAGTAGTAGCAGCTTCTATACGTGCATGAGAGAGAGAGAGAGAGTGCGTGTGTGCCATAGACGGCAAATAGGTTGAGGGAGGCAGATCTGATCAGACGCACAGCAACAGAGGAGAGAGCATGGCACAGGCTGAGCAGCAGCGCACTGGATTACACACAGATGGACACACACATACAAACTCTGTGGCAAGCAGAACAGCTGGGAGAAATGTGTGTCAGTGCCTGAGCGCCTTTGACTTAATGAATGCATGTGCCTTTGCACATGCATGACTGTTTGCTCTTGTATTATCTTCTGCTACTGTGTGTGTGAGGCTGTGGAATTATGCCTGTGCAGGGTAAGAATGTTCTGTCTCTGCATACAGACGGCGTGTGCGTCTACCTCTGTCTCCCCCTGGTCTGGAGACAGGAGGGGGTGGGTGTGTGGAGGGAGGTAAAGAGATCAGATGATGAAGAATGAGGCAGATGAGCAGATTAGCCCAGTAGCAAGTGATGAAACAGAGACAGGGAGGAAGGAAAGGATGATGAAGATTTTAGGACAGGGGGAGGATGAGGAGAGAGATTAAGAAAGCGGAGGAGACGTGCTCGCTCCAGGAGTGCTCAGAGTGATGCTCATTCATAATTCACCTCCATGGCAAATGTTCATTCACATATTGACCCCCCATGGCTGCGCTCAATGGAGTTCTCACCCCTCCACCTTTCTCTGTCTCTCAATGGACACCCCTGTGGCGCAACGTTCAGTTAGCCCGCTTCTTTTTCACTTGGGAGACAGTTGAGGCTCTCACAGAAAGCCTTTCTGTCCTTTATGGCTCTTTTGATACCAGTAGTTTTTTCAGTTGGAGGCTCTGATGTGAGATTGAATTGTGTAAATTGAATATTGAATTCAGACTCGACCCCAGACACAGATAATTGGTATGGATGGCTCAGTGGGTTAGTGCTCTCAGTACAACTGTTGTTAGTCTGATTCCCTCAGCACACTCTATAATGGATCTATAATTCATGTCTGAATGCATTGAACAGTCTGTGTTTTGAATAAAAGCATCTGACGGCTTTCTTCATGATTTATTCAGTATAAATACTCAAAAATGGCCAATTTAATATTTGTGATTATTGGAGCTGTGCCCGGAGCCACACTATAGCCCACTGCTGTGCTATGGTCAGCTGTGGCCCATGAGGTGTCTAAAATGCACACTCAGAAAAAAAGTGTACTGCAGAGGCACATTTAGTTCTAAAGGCTGAACACTGGAGAAGTGCACCTTATCAGCAAAACTTATAAACATATTCTGACTTGGTTTTATAGGTATGGTGGACTTAGTAAAAAGAGGACACAGAAGGCATAGTGTTGACACTGTGCACTGGCATGTAACCCCTGAAGGTATCACGGTGTTGTACCTTGGTTATGCGGTCATACAATACAATGAGTTGTTTATTAAAGCTGCAGTAACGTAAAGTCCCAGACAGTGCATTCATAGCAAGAACAGTAAATCATGGCACTGTCACTTCTTTTGTCAAGGGTTTGACTCCCACTAGATCCATCCATCCAACTACCAAATCACTCCTTTTTGGGGTGGGGGTGGGGGTTTGCTGGAGCCAATTTCAGCTGACATTAGGTGAGAGGCGTGGTACAACCTGGACAGGTCGCCCGTCTATCACGGGGCCTATGCTTAGAGACAGACAACCACGCACACTCGCACTTACTCCTACAGGCAATTTGGAGTCACCAGTCAACCTAAGCTGCATGTCTTTGGACCGTGGGAGGAAGCCGGGGGGCACCCAGAGAGAACCCACTCAGGCACAAGGAGAACTCCTTCTTGCTGTGATGCAGCGGCTCTACCTACTGCACCACCATGCAACCCTCCCACTGGATCCAAACACAGTAAATATAGTTAAGCTAATTAAAGGCACCATTCCCAACCACACAAAAAAAAATTAACCATTCATCTCTGATGCAATGGAAATGTGATTAAAGATAATATGAAAAATTCAGAGGAAATAATGTATACCACAGCAGCCTTTTTGAACTTTTTAACAAAACAGAAGGATTTAAGCGCAGACACACCAAGCCGATGGGCAGGAAATAGCAGCAGCGAAGGCTGACTCGTCATCTTTGTCTGGGTCAGCTGAGTTGAAAAAGTGACACTGAAGCACAATGTGTGTCACATTTATGCACAAAATAAGCAGTTTGATTCTTAACAAATAGCTTATTATTTCATAGATCTAGGGATTTAATTTTCTTTTTACCTGTATTTCAAACGTGCCACCCCTCTCTGAGTTTGTGCCCCAGCCTGGCCACCCTGTCCAAAAATCTCTAGAGCCACAAGTGGCAAAAATAGCAGTTACTAGGTGCAACACGAGATCTGAATCGCTGAACAAATTGGATATGTTTGCTGTGATCACAGATCTGGAACCAGGCTACACAACAGTAAATATGCTGGCAGGTTAGTGTGCTAGCAGTAGTGCAAGCTCGGCTACTGTCACGTGACCCTTGCCTTGCGGTCCCTTGTGAGATGGATTGTACTGTACATGTTTTCACTTCTCCAAACAGATTATGCAGCATAAACGTGTACTGTACTGTAGGTGATAAATAACAGCTTATTGAGCAGTTTTTAAATGGCTCCCAGTAGCACCCTCAAACTCCCAGATGTATTTCTAGCTAACTTTATGATGCTTTAAAACTCAGCTATGAACTTTGTTTACTTTCAAAACACTGACAGTAAGCCTGAAGGAAATGGTACGTAAAACAAAAGCTATCTTTAGTGCCAATGATTTACTGTTAATTGCACCAGCTATGATAGAAAATTATATTTGGTTCAGTCCTGATTAAGGCATCATCACTGAGACGAATGTGGATTAAGGTAAATTGAATTTATGACTTTTGGATCTACGCTGCAGTTGTTTTACTATAAAACACTTGAATGACGCTGCACAGTGATGAAGGGCAGTGATGAAACAGCCGCACCGTGTCTGGTTTTTATTCCATTTTCCTGTCAATGCAATGATTAGGTAATGATTGAATTTGTGGTCGTGACATGAATTTGCGGTGTGACTTTCATGTACCAGTTTACATGTTACAACTACTGGAGAGTTAAAAGCAGGTTTTAAATTGCAGCGGAAACACAGCCAGCCTAAGTGGCCAAGATGGCTTAGAAGAATAATGCTCTCTGTATCCCCCAGGTTATAATTGTCTTCAATAGGCCTCCTGCTGATTTGAAATGGACTCATTGTCCACAGTGCTGGGCCCCTCAGCTCAATTAGCATCTCTCTGCTTAGTCGTGCTGAGCTATTGCAGGTTGCATCCTCGCACGGTGGACCACAAGTGAATGCAGTAAATATACACTGGCGGGACAGAGTAGTCACACACTCACACACATGTGCACTATCAGGCATAGCAAAACGTCACCAGGTGTAAAAATAGAGA